ATATTCGCGTATTCGTACTGTACCCGAGATATTCAATCCTTTCATGATCCATGCACTCTTCGAACTTATTGTTAGATCGGACTTGTCAAATATGAATTATTTGGAAAAGATATTTATATATTCCTCTGAAAGAATATTTTTTACGAAAGATATATGCAAATAAAACACCATTTAATATGATAAAACTGAAAATTTTATCAAATTTTTTGTTGTGTATCATTAAATCTTATTATTAAATTTTATAATGATTTTACATTTCGATAACAGAATTTTTTATATGTTATTGCTTGGACAAGTCGTTGAAACTCTTAATCCTATATTAAATTTTATGACATCAGAAACAAGAAATCTTTAATGAGTTTTTTATTTTTGCGAAATATTTTGAAATAAACAAGTTTCTTTTAATGATTATTCGTGCTCGATAACATAACTTAGTAAAATATGCTGAAAATTCTATTTCTCATTTGTGAATTAATGATAAATAGTTGTAAAATCTTGATCAATTATTGTAAAATCTATTTTTGCTGAAAATGTAGGACATATGCAGATGAATGCATGCATTTATTAATACGAAATGAGGAAGAAATTTTCTCATACTTTACACTGATCCATATTATTGAATATGAGTACTTGCAAAAAAATATTTATTTATATACGGGACTTCTCATAAGAAATTGCTAAAACTAATTAGCTGTCATTTTTTAATGCATCTAAACTTTCCTCTTTTCAATACAATTTTTGTTTTCTCAATAACTATGCATGCATTAAAAAATAACAACTGATTAATTTCAGAAATTTCCTATGGGACATTTGGCAAGAATAAAACTCATACACATACATGATTTCTTACATTATATTTAAATATAGTTGCAGTGAGAACACAAGAATCTTAGATGCAATGCAAACACGATTCACATATTATAAATTTAAATTTTACATTTACATATTATATTTTACATTTGCGAATTATATAATTATATAATCTCAGTATCAAGAATCGATCGTAAAAAATCACTTGTGGTATCTATCACATTAATTGATTAGAAAAGTGCGCAATCAATAGTGATTTAATCATTATCATATCGATATCGTCGTTAAACGATACTAATCAACAGAACACAATCATACACTCTGTGTGATCGTATTTTCTTGCTGGAAAGCAAGAAAATTGTTATTTTAGTGACACAAGTTGACACAAACCTGTATAAGATCTCTGTTCCTTTTAGTTGCATTAGTTTAGAGTTTATCTTTCCTTGTAGAAATTTATCACTAGTAACGCCAATTAATCAGTTATTTCGAGTACTTAAAATACTGATATACAGTAATTTAAGTACTCGAAATAAGTGATTAAGTACTCAAAATAAGTGATAAATTGGCGTTACTAGTGATAAATTTCTGTAAGGGTTTTACCTTCGAAATGTGTAAAAAAAAAAATAAATTTTGAACCAGTGTAGCTAAAAAGGACAGACCTTAGATTTTTGTCAACTTGTGTGTCACTAAATGGAAAGCACTCACAGAGTGTATCTCTCAAAATATTCACACAATGTCGACTTGTAGCTGAAACTGCTTAGCTTTTTTACTGCATTACAGAGCAATCACTTTACACAACCTTTTTTAAAGTTTTCTTTTCAGTTTTTTTAACTTTTTTTAAAACTTATTTCCTATCCAAACAGCACCAAAATCGAAACATGTCCAAAATTGGGACATAAGACGCGTTTTTAAGATGGCTTTTAGATATCCCAGACAGCACCAAGCCCAAAATTGGCGCATAAGATATCATTAAGAAATCTTTAAGACAGCTTTAAGAAATCTTATGATATGATATCCGAAAGACATCTTAAACATATTTTAAAGATATCTTTATGCGCCAATTTTAGATTTGGTGCTGTCTGAAATCACATCATATAAGATGTCTTAAAGACTTTACATGTTCCAATTTTGGAACATAGTGCTCTTTGCGTATTATCTTTACCATAAAAAAATATTGGTATCTATGATACAAAATGACGACATAATTAAACACAGAATTTTAGCTGTGTTACACAGTGTCTCCTGTGTACATTTCTAGAAGAACACCCTATATGTTTAACATATTACTGATTATTATCATCATTATCACGTATTCTTATTATTTGCTTGGACTTCAATATTGATCGAATAATTTTCTCATTATATATTGATTATCGATATCAAGAGATGCGATAATATATCTCGCATTATAAGTACATCAATACGACAGTAATATTTAATAATTTAAATTCAAGCTCTCTCTCTCTCTCTCTCTCCCGCCCCTCCTCTCTTTCTTTTTATCAAATCTGGCGATATAAAGCAGGCCGATAAAACGTTGAATCCACAGTTTGCATAAATGCATATGCAGCTAACAAAGTAGGGCCATTCTGAATACTTGTTGCAAACGCATGCATATGCGAGCAGCATACAGCGTGTACCTATATGTAATCTGCATATACCCATTGATAGTGCAAGATGACGAGTGAAAAAAATGGGACAAACGGATCTTTGCCACGCGCGGCGATATATATTCATTAAAAGTTGTGCAGCCACAGAATTCGACTTCTCGGTCTTCCATGACTGACCCGAATTCGCGTCCGCTATGAAAAGATTGATATATACGCCGGGGAATCGTCAAAATTGCATGACAATGCGATTGCACCGCGACACGAAGGTCGGGCAAGAGGGTTATGAAAGGCAACAAACGCACGTGTTTCTTTCTCCTCGTAATATAAAAAAAAAACAAATATTTTGTGCATGCAGCTATTATAGTGTCGCGTTTCTTAATTTTTGCCATCTGTATGCGCGATGAATAATCGAAACAATATTTAGTCCTTATGGAAATTTATCACTATAGTAAGTCCAAATAATCACTTATTTTGAGTACTTAAATTATTGTATATTAGTAATTTAAGTACTCGAAATAAGTGATTATTTGGACTTACTATAGTGATAAATTTCCATGAGGACTAAATATTGTTTCGATTATTTCGAGTACTTAAATTATTGTATATTAGTAATTTAAATACTCGAAATAAGTGATTATTTGGACTTACTAGTGATAAATTTCCATAAGAGAGAGCTATTTAATTTTCGTATTTTCTTTCTTCTATGAAGAATTTGTAAGAGAAGAGCTTGCAAATAAAATCATTCTCAATAAAATATTCTCAAATTTTTGCATTATATACATATATGTACGAGTATAATATGTTTCTTTTTGGTTTGATACAATTAATAGTTTCTAATATAACTACTTCGTTCTATTTTGAAAAAAATTTATTATAAAACGTCTTAACGAGTACTAATTTATAAATTAAATATTGATTAAAAACTGAACAATTTTCTATGAAACTTATATATAAGACTTTGATACTAAAAAGAGATCATCAATAAAATCACAGATTTTATTATAATAAAAACTTAAATATTACAAAGATATATGTTAGACACACATACATGTGTTTATTTTAGTTGTAAATAAAAATATAATTATTTTATCGAAGACCCAATTTTTGAAAAATTCTCTGAGTCTTAATAAAAATTCATGAGAATTCCCGGATAAAAAAATAAAATTATAAAAATTTAAGAATTAATAATTAGGCTCGTGTAAATTCAAAATTTATTAATAAGAGATAGGCTAACTAAACAAACAAAAATTTCTTGAATATTAAGTAATTTTTATTTTATCATAAATAATTGGAAGGTAAACGTTTCAACTGTACTCTGTTTTCTTCAATACTGAAACTTAAAAATAAGCAAACGTGATGTCATGTCTATGTATAGTTCAATTCGTAAGTAGGATAGTTATGAACGATTACTCACTTAATGATATACAAAATCAAATCAAATAAGATGGAATGAAAAATGCTGTAACAAAATGTACAAAGTATAATCGAATGTAAAATTAAAATTTAATCTGATAGATATGAAATGTATCGTAAATTAAAATTATAAAACAAAAAAGTTATTATAAAGCAGTACTAATTTATTTAAAATATTATTTAAAAAATTAAACAATTTTCTATAAAATTTATATTAAAAAAAAATTAAATAAAATAAAATTTTAATATTAAAATTTATATAAATAAAAATTTTAATATTAAATTTAATATTAAAAGGAAATTAACAATAAAAAAATAATTACATAAAAGTTTATAATGAAAATACTTAACTATTACAAAGATTTATTAGATATGTTTCTAAGTGCTAAATAGAAGTAAAATTATCATCTAAGATATAATTTTTGAAAAAATATTTTTCCGAGTTGCAATAAAATTTCACGAGAATTCTCGGGTTTTTTAGGTAAAAAAATCTCTGACAATCCTTAATTTTGCAGGTTTTCCAAACCGGAATAGATCCTGTTTAATGAAATTAAAATGTTCATATATACAGGGTGTCCCGTACTCAGCGAATCACTCATTTACAGGGAAAATGTTGAGGTACCAATATAATTTTCAAATAATAAGCAATTAAAAATAAAAAATGCGGAAAAAATTCCGCGAAGCCAATCCCCTCATATTTAGTATTAACATGTCATTTATATTGTATATATGATGTTCTTAACAAAAAATTAAATACGGATACCGATCGGAGCCAAATTTTAATAGAAGTTGTCATTCAAAAACTTGCATATGCTGCAAACCAGAGCACGCTACGATTCTCCTGAGCTGAGAACGAGCGGTTTTTTAAAAATACGGAGAAGAAATTATGAAAAGCATACTGGTTTCTCGCAAACTATGTCGTGGAAACAAAATATTAACAAAACCACATTCTTCAGTTAATTTCAGAATTTATTTTAATAGAATTTCAATTTAATTCTTAGTTACAAAATACACATGATGGCAAGAAATAATGACCTCCTTCGACATTTTCGCTGAGAAGAAATCGTCATCAAATAATGTCGGAAATCTAACTAGTGTATCAGTGATTCGCTGGGTGCAGGACACCCCGTATATAAAGTTGAATTCGAGTTCGCAAGAGCGAGCGACTCTCTCGATTTTGAAAGACAGTAGCAAACGGCGCGCAAACGACTAAACCCGCTTCGGGGCGACTCGATTCAGTTCGTGCGATTGGCCGACTAGTGGCCGAAGTGGCCGACCGGCCGGTCACAGAAATTCACAGTCTTCCGCTCTATACTCCTTTCTCCCGGTCATCTACACTTACACCGGCAATGAGCGGAGTGGAGCGAGGGAGCGAGATAGACGACGTGGTTTCCTATGGGAAACCGACCGTTTATTCGGACTTGGCCATCAGTTTGTCAGCGGCACCGCTCTTGCGCGCATGATCATTCATCGCGCCTTTTCTGTTTCGTGCGAATGCTATACTGTATAACGCTCTTGGGTACCGCTATAGCGCTATAAACACACGCATATGTCGTGTCCGTCCTTTTCGCAAAAGCCGGGTGGTCGGTGATGCTGAGAAAGCAGAGAGCGTGGAGGTAGCCAGAACGGAGCCACAAGAGCCAAATCTGATTTGCTCCTGGTTTGAGTAGCCACGACGCCGTTGTCCGCGCGAGTGGTGCGCGTCCGACAATCAATTCGGAGAATAGGTATGTACATGCGACTTATGTATACAGTACGATTGCGTGTGCCTGGGTCATTTTCCCCGGAAATAACAATGGTGAACGCTAATCGGAGTATAGTGGTGCCTCCTTTGCTCTACATTGGTATATTTCTTCGATCTCCATGAGAGATTTTGCACGATACAGAGTTGCACTTTACAGAGTTTGCACTTGTTTGGGTTTTTGAGAAGAAAGAGAAACAAGTGAATATTATATATATATATTGATTACGGAAAATACAAAATTGTATACTCTTCTCGAATGTATAATATATTCCTGCATTTTTCTTACTAATATGAAGCAGCAAAAGCAAAGAAGAATTAAATAGTATACTGATGTTGCTCTACAGGACAAATCTTACGATGAAAAAATCTTGATTAATCTTAAAATGAAGAAAAAACAGAAAAAAGGAACGCATATATTATAAAATTCTCGAATAAAGTGTAAGCCATATATTTAGACAACGTTGAGTATGGTTTTACTAAGATATGCAAAATTATATACGTTCCTTTCATCATGTCATAATATCAAATATCCATGACTCTTCAAACTGTTTTTATTATTCGCGCATATATACATATTTGTATGCCACGCCAATTATTAAATACTGATTTTCGCATTGCGTAACCAATTGTCGCGAGTAAAGGAAATTCTTTTGTGATGAAGTGTTATTGCGCGAAAAGAATTACTGCTGATTTGTTTACGCAAGGACCGATGAACAGGATACGCATATATTCAGGCCCTGCGTCGGCGCCAGCTGGAATGTGTGATAACAGAACAACTTAGACGACAGAATTACATTGGTCAGCGTGATAAATTCGAATAGATAATAAAGCTTTTTTGAAAAATTACAAGTGAGTGATAATAAAGAGCACACATACATGTATACATATAATACGTACATATACAGGGTGTCCCAAAATTAAACCGACAAATCTCAGGTGGTTACAAAAGAATATCAAAACAAGCCAATTTTATCAATAAACCCAGGTCTGCAAATAAGCAATTTTGGCACTAAAGAGATTTTGGAAGTATATATTCTCTTCCATTACATCTAGCTTCGCTATAAGTCAGATGCATATCTTCAGGAAAAAACTTATCCATTTCGAACATGAACTTCAACTAAATAACAATTCAAACTGAGTGCAATAAGAACTGAGAACAATTAATACTGAATGAATACTTAATGCTATGACTTTAGTCAACAATGTCTTATTTAAACAATGTCAAACGACGTTTTATACAGGGTGTTTCTAAAACCATGTCAAAGATTTTAAGGGCGTATTCTAGGGGTCAAAATAAGAAAAAAGTTCCTATAAACATGGTTATCAATGCTTTAATATCTCTAGTGTCATATAAATAAATACGACATACGCAAGAGAGAAGAGATCGCGCCAAAGTTCAAAATTAGATCGGCTAATAAGCGAAACAAGACATCGAATGGAAAATTCAAATTGAATAGAAATAGCTTACAGTTGTCGGATTTAGATAAAGACCCAGGACATGAATAGAGACGGGGATAGACGCGGTCCCTTATTCTATTTTCGAACTGGGTGATGAAAGTGGTTCAGTGTTTTCTACATGCAGGTATATATGGACTAAGATTCTCATACATTATACAACTTTTTCTGTCGTCTTATGCACGCTTGTCCGCGGTTGTTACTTATGTTAGCTCCGGAACAATCGTGATTGATGAAGTGGCCTGTTTTGGCTCATACCGAAGCAACATAATAACCTAGGTTATTATATTTAATTAGAGATGCGCCTATATTGTTTCTGTCGATTGATTCTAGAGATAAGGTATCAAATTATTTAAAATACATCGTAGGCCTAAAGGAGAGTGGAAATTTTTATTACTTTAACTTTTATTATTTTTATGTACTTTATGCATTTTTCTGCACCCTATGTACTTTTCATGCATTATAAAGATTTACTTATTATAAAGATTTATAACGTTAATTATTATTCTTAAATTGATGCAGTGTCCTTTCGCTTAGCACAAGCTTTCGCAAAATAAAAATTTAAGCGAATCGTGTCTTTTAAAAATTATTGATGTCAAATGCAGCTTATTTCGCTTTCGATATAATAGATTCATAAATTCCAGAATATCAATTCACAAGCATAACTGAAGCTTGTTCCGTCAGGAGCGATTGATTCGATAAAAAATGCACGCGTGTTATGTTATTTATTGACCGATGATTTAATCAAATTTTTTTAAATGCACAATTAAATGTTCAATTGCAATCGTTTCATCGATATGTATCGCAAAATTTCTTTGTTATCTAACCTTCTTATCAAATAAGGTCAATATATTTTTAGTTTTTTTTAAATAGTAAATCTTAAATGTTAATTTAAAGATAATATCTGAATAAAATATCTCTTTTAAAGAGATGAGATAATATTTGACCACTTGTTTAAGATAATAATTTAATTGTCCATAAAGAGGATCTATGAAATCCAATATTTATACTTTGCGACTACATTTTAGACTACATGTTATTTTACATAAATAAAGGTGTCTTATATTATGTGAATTTCAAGATTAGCGAAATATAATATTATTTAAAATATAGTTTATACAAAACTTCATAATATAGATTGTTTGAAATCAGTTTTATATTTGTACTCAAAAGTTTCTATCTGATTGTGAGTAAAAAAAAAGAAAGATTATTAATTATCTTAGGCAGAAAAATAAACTTTTTTATAACCAAGTCTCATAAATTTGATGTCGTCTTTTAAACTCCTTATAATGATTGGCTTCTTTTAGCCAATTGTCGATAATAATTATTAGCAAGCTCTTAATACGCGGATCTCTTAATGCGAAACATTTATACCGGTACACGATTCTGTTTTTATTTACGAAGAAAATTAATTCATTAAATTGACAATTGATAATAAGCAAACCATAACCACGTAACGCTTAACCCATGACATTTAAGGACATCTGTTCATCATTGTCCCCTAGTTTTCACCACGCGATACAATAAGAGACAAAGGAAATGAATAAATGAATATATCATACGAAGAATGTAATATTTAATTTTGATGTAATTCATGGCATCTCTTTATTGAGGCTCATAAATTCCTTAAAGCTTGTTGTAATCTTGATAACTCAAAAGTCTTCTCTCTAGCGCTTCTAGAATCTATAGAGTGAAGAAAAGCCAGAAGAAACTCCCTTTTGTTCAAGAAACCTCCCTATCATCCCTGGTCATTTTCCATTTGATCATCCCCATGTAAAATATCGCGCAGCGATTATCAAAGTTCGCGGCTTCGATTATCAGGTTATCGAAGTCACGAGACAATCTCGCATTCAATGAGCTTAATCGCACACGCGACGTCTCGTGACGATGAATCATCGTCGTGGCGTGCATTGAGCACCACGGAGGGACACCACGTCCTCGTTCCCCATACGGAATTTCGGCCGCTGATCAAATTGCATAATTTCGAAAGTGAAATAAATACATACGGACATTTTTTTAAATGTGATTTTTTCGACGTTTTGCAACATTCTGAACACATTGGCATAGAAATCTGAAAAAAAATTTTTTCATGATGAAAACAAAATTTTCTCTATGCGCAAAAAGGCTACTTCGTAGTATTTCAAAGGAATGGATATATTTTTAAAAATATAATATTCTTTCGAAAGAGATGTAAAAAATTTTTCAGTAAGAAAAGAAAACTCTATTTTTTTCTGGTATATATTTAGTTGTAGATAATTACAAAGGTTTGCATATGATTTTGATATTTAAGCAAACAAAGTAGTTTCCTATAGGAATTAGTATACTAAGATCGAAGGTGTCAAAAGTGACGATTTTGGCCAACTTCATGCATTTATTTTACAGACATCAATTTTTTAATATTTTTGATGTCATCGCAAAACTAATCTTTCCCTTTAAATTCATTTTTAATCGTCCTCGTACGACATTTTGTTCCCGAGATATACAACTTGACGTTACAATTATAAATACCTACTTTTTGTATTTTGTGCTTATTATACTTATGGAATTTTAAGATCTTTGTGTTTTTGAATTCTAAATTTTTAGTAGTTATTGAATATTAGATGCTGTGTAAGTCCGTATGATGATATATAATTATAGATATAAAGTTTTGAGAGAGTTAGTAGTTGCGATCAATAATAAAACGGCAAATTCACGCATATATACAGATACACTCGGTGTCACGAATGCTTTCACGCATATATTGTTACATCGTAACAATAACTAAATTAATTCAATATGTTCGTAATAGTTAGTTCGACAGCTATTCGATTTATTAAATGTAGGATTAACAGAATGTAATATAACAATAAAAATTTAACAGAATGTAATATAATTTCTTTTAGCTTCTATTTGGTGATAATTATCGTTAATTCTCCTTAAAATTAACAATAATGATGCATGAATATGCGTTCTAAATAGGTTCGATCCGAAAGTAGCTATTCTTCAAACGTGACGGCATGTATGATGCTGAGTATGTGCGTCAGAAATATTTTATTATATAAATTTGAACGCATATATTGGGACATATTAGCATGCGTGCTTTGTATCTATATGATATGGTAATACTATTTCAAAGCAGAATAAAATTATTTTATTATCGAAGAAATTATCTTTTTATTAATTCTATTAACTTTTTATTAATCATTATTATAAATATTATAAATAAATATATATATATATATATATATATATATTTATATAATATGAATATAAATATATTTTTTCCATGTCCAATTTGTATGCACCAAGAAAAATATGTATTCTTTGCACAACGATTCAGTTTCAGATTCAGTTCGAAGAAAAATTATTCTGTGAAACTGATGCACTACCATCCGCACCTGAATGTTATTATAGCCCAGGAAATTGAAATTTGTTTCACCATAGAGCCTTTAATTAATTTTATAATAAAATTATTATTAATTTTTTAAACAGCCAACAGTCTTATGTGAATATTTGAAAACGAATCACGTTCACCGAATACATACATTACATTACATACTTATATGTATATGTACACTTAACACTAGGAATGCCTTTTCGTATGAAATTCGACACATTTTTGCGACGCGAATCGAGCACATTTTATTTCCAAATATACCTAATTCACACAAAAATTCTTAATTCTCAAAGTAATTAGTAATTCTGGTTGCATTAAAATTGATGTTATTGACGAAACGTTTCCATTACACATGGCAGCTATATCGTTCATCATTTATCATAACAGGCGTTTCAACGAGTATAATTTATTATGCGCGACTTCCGCAAAAGTCCCTAAAGACTTATCGATTTACTTTATGTACTACCGTCATTATTGTTATCATCAATGAAATTGACGTATTTAATTTTATCTGCGTAATTTAACTTCTGTTAATTCCTTCCACAGAAATTTTAAAAGAGAGGGAGTATATATACAGGATGTCCTATATTTTAATGTCCCATTCCAAATAACTTTTATTTTTGATTGTAGAAGAAAGTGTTTCAGACAAAAGTTGTATGGTTTCGAGGAAGATATAAAAGATGATACCATTAGTTTGACCTTTAATAGTTGCTTGAAGGTCATATTCAATTTCTTAAATGAAACTACTTATCTTTCATTGCATATTCTTGTAGCTTATCTCAAGAGCTTTCCAAAACCCTATAATAAAGTATTTTTTTATTAAGTACTTTTTGAGTTATAAATGTTTGAAGTTAACAATTTTTTGACATAAAATGTAAAATATATCTTGTAAAATATTCAGTTTTCGGTAATCATATCTTATAAATACCTGTATAATATGACGTAATTCGATAAATTAACATTTGAATTAATCTCATATTTAAAGAAATATTTAAAAGGATTAACATATATAATCAAATATGGTTTATAAGTAAAAAGTTTATTATATAGTATATTACATAGCATACTTTATTACAAATTGATACTTTTTACAACACCTTACAATATTATAATATGCATATAAAAATATAATAGGATAAATTAAGAGTTTAACAAGGCTCTGTAATATAAATATAAATTTAACATATAAGACAGTCAATAAGAGCCAAATCGCGGATGACAGTGCGTTATCCTAAACGAAACTAAATTTTTTTCGTTAGAATTAAATACCTGTGCACAAGGCACCAAATTTTACTTGGACACGGCCAAGATATAAAATTAGAATAATCTCTACAAGAGATTTAATTCCATACATCCCCTGTTCCCCCCTAAGGAAATAAATGCGAGAGAAAAATTATAGATCCGAAAGTCGCTGAATCGGGATGTTCAAGTAAACTTTGGTGCCTTGTGCACAGGTATTTAATTCTAACGAAAAAAATTTAGTTTCGTTTAGGATAACGCACTGTCATCCGCGATTTGGCTCTTTTTATTGCCTATCTTATATGTTAAATTTATATTTATAATAGGATAGTTTTGTTTTTTTTTTAACTTTATTTGATTCATATACATTCAAATAAACTTTTCTTTCTTGTATAAAACAAAACCGCGTACATGTCATACCTAGCTTTTTATTTAAAATTCCGTATATTGCACGTTCGTCACACCTATATTACACATGCCTGGAATACAAAAGCAGTACTGTAAAAGTAGTAGACAAATAATAAAATTACGAATGATAAAAAGCGCAAGTTTTACCACTGTGTTTATTACAATCAATATTTAACCATTCTTGTATTTTTTCTGAATTTCTTTTCTTAATTTTATAAAAATATCTCTTCGATCTTTTTTCTTCTTAAATTGGAATTATTCCCTTATTACTCTATATACATGGAAGCAAATAAAATGTGTAGCAATAAAAAATAAAAGAATTTATTTTCCTTAGATTTGAGATATGTGTAGTTAAACAACGCATTTCTATGGGTCACGCTTCTATTAATGGGCTTCACACCGTGCATATTCGTATATGTGCATATGTGAAGTGATATATATATATATATATATATATATATATATATATATATGTACCAGGAATGTAAAACCAGGTCGAAAACCTTCGCGATAGTCCCTCTCGTTTATATAACCTTGTCCCACAAAGGTGACACCAAAACGTAAACACTCCTTTCTCTCACAAGAAGTCTCGTCATTCGCAGGATCTCGAAAGATCCATCCTGTCCATTTATCAACCTCGATCATTGGAGATATTCCTTGAATATATTAAAGCGAATAGAAGAAAAAATACAGAATAATCTCTTTTCTCTACATTATTAATTTTAAACATAATGAAAGAATCGGCTAACACAAGAAAATAACACGTACCTTATTCAGAGTTGTCAGTCAATAAAAATTAATTCAACGGGTTTACAATGAAACTTTTATGACTTGCTCTATTATTTTGCATTCTGAGACTCGCGCTAAGTAAGCTCAGTCCCACGTATTTGTTTAATAAAAAATTTGATCGATCGCTAAACGACCTCCGGACATATTATTCTTGCATTCGCTCGATAACTGCAATAATTTAATGTCAATGTCGCTGAAAATTTGATAAAGCATATCTGCCAGGAATGTCGCGCATTTATATTTTGCATGTTGCGAACTGATATAATATCCGGTGAAGCTTACGACCGGACAGTGCAAAAGTAAGAACTTTATTCGACTTTGTATGTATATATTGAATATATTTTTATGTTAGTGAGAAATATTAACATATCTCTCTCATTGAAAATGACCAGTTTTATTCGCATGATTCGCTGCTCATATTGAGTTCTTGTGACTTGTGATGAGTAAAATTTAACGGGACACACATGAGCGCAATTGTAAAAACAGACGCCTCAAAAGAAGAAAACTTGACGTAACATCGTAGCAGATGTTGCATTACAAAGGATCCAGCTTTTCATCGAACAAACAACAAACGACAAGGAATAAAGAATCAGCCGGTTTTCGCGTTACCAGATCTTATTATGACATTGTACTAGAGGTTAGGTTTAAGGTGCTTTTACACCGAGTTATACGGAAGTATCGTACGGATATAAATATCATTCCTTTGAAGATTTTACACAGAAAGTCTGAAGTCAAGTAAAACTAATGCGCTTAATAAAATCTATAGCTTCATACATATAACATAATTAATCTTTCATTAATAAGAAATGACGAATGTAATATCACATTGTGAAAACATCTTTAGATCCATATATCTATATATATTCGCACGTACATCTAGGCAGCCTGTTGTGTAAATGAAACTGATCGCCAAGTTTCTTGGATCATCATTGTTACACTATTTTTGTGGGAACGTAAAAGCAGATATCCCGAAATTTTTTTATGCGAGAATGCGGAAGTGAAGCAAAAGGTACATATATATATATATATATGTTACAAAAGTGTATAATTGCGAAAATGTGTAAAGACATAGAATGTAAGTGTCAAAGCTAAACAATATAAGTATATATTACATAATGAATTGTAAATACAATATATATATATATATATATATATATATATATGTGTGTGTGTGTATGTCATGCAACAAAGGGAACAAATTTTGTATACCGAACGTTGATGTAATCGTCGTTATGTAATTATATACGGCGGAACAAAAGATGGAAAATTACGTGTCAAGCCACACGACAGTCTAAATTATGTTGATTGCCGAACACATGTTTCAAGAAATGGAAAGAAAAATGTGTGTGTGTGTGCGTCGTTTTACATCTCATCTCGTTACAGCGCGTAATCGAAGACGAGCAAGAGAAGATTGATTGCACATTGACTCTATTCGCGATTGTCACCACGTCGCGATAAATAATAATAATTAGTAAAAGATAACGAGGTAAGCGCTAACGAAACATATACAGTGAATATTATTCGTTCACGGCACAATCTTCGGATTCTTAATTTTTATATCACTATACTTTCAATTTCAAAAACAAGTACAGACAGCACCATGTCCAAAATTGGTGCATAAGAAGATGTCTTTTGGGATACCATATCATAAGATTTCTTAAAGATGTCTTAAAGATTTCTTAATGTTTTATGCATCAATTTTGGACATGGTACTGTCTGACAATGAATATAACAAAATCAAAATAGAGATACCTTTTAGACATTTGGATTGCATAAAGTATCAATGTGTTGACATTGGCCTTGTGCCTAAGGTATTTCTAAGAATATGTAATAGCGGGAAAGAGCCATCAGTCATTTCCGATGAGGCATATCTCATTCTGAATGCCAGCCGTGTAGTTTGAATTGCGATTTAGTTTGCAAATAAATGTTCACGAGATCCCTATTTTCAGTTCGTATCATCTGCTTTCTTCCTCGAAAAATCTGTTTCATTTGATTTTTTCGTTCACAATTATACTCGAAATGATGAGTAACTTTGATCTCTTATGTCAGTTCTACAAATCAGTATGTCAAAAACATTTAAAAATACTAAAATGCACTGAGATGATAGAATTTATTAAGACATATAAAAGCATTAGTTAGACTCTGTTTAAACGGTTCGTTTCGTTGAATTTTTCTGATAACTCACAACTTATAAATGATTTTGTATTGCTAAACATATATATCTTGTGTGCTAATAATCTTTTAAACAAATATAATTTTATTTGTAAAGAATATGTAAGCGAGTAAAAAGAATACATATTGATATACATATAGGACAATCCCTTATGGAAATTTATCACTAGTAAGTCCAATTAATCACTTATTTCGAGTCCTTAAATTACTGCATATCAGTAATTTAAGTACTCGAAATAAGTGATTAATTGGACTTACTAGTGATAAATTTCCATAGGGGATGAGAATGCGGCTGCCATTGAAAGGAAGAGATCATAAAATCGAGTAGAATCCGATAAGACCCCGATGTTTTTTTTCGGAAAAAGCCCGGAAAATTTTTGTTAGCTTTCTATTCTATTGTTATTAATCACAAGTCTCATTTGTGTTTCAGTAGCCGGCAGAACGGAGCTGTCATCACAGCGACTACTCCACATGTGGACATCGCCATCCCGACTTAGGATCGGCCGGGCACCCAGGAAAAAGACACAGCCTTAAGCTGATAGCTACGTCATCAGCTGCTGCGGCCGATGCAGGATGGAGAATAACGATGGATCTAGAAGAAAGCTCTCTTTCCTCGGCTTCGGCAAACGGGTAAGTACAATGTAACTTAACACAATAACAATTAATATTAATATTAATAATTAATTGATATCTCAAATCAATTTGGTAGGCTCAGAAGATTAATAAATCAAAAATTAAAACAAGCAGGGCGTGAAAGCCGAAGCCGGTTGTTGTGGCAAAAATATTTATTTCTTAATTAAAAATTTTTACAAACGTTTCGATCTTATTTAGACTACCTTCAGTGTAAAAATATACGAAAAATAAAAAATGCGTGTTACAATGAAATTCGCATGTTACGTAAAAAGGTCGCAAAAGATTTCCGGCCGAATAATTAATATCTCAAAGATAAATTGAATGAGAAATATTTGTGCTTGTACGTTTAAAAGAAGCATCGATTGGTGTCGGATGATTTAATAAGGAGCGATATGTCGATAAATGATATTCCGTATGAGGATCGATATGCATTTGAACGCATACCGCAAATGTAATATCATGTTACTTGACTGCAATGCAGAGTATCTCATTATGTATCGTACTTAGTTATCGTTGCGTTTTTTTATTTTATTTTATATGGAAATGTCTCTCTTATATTTTCATGTTTTGGACATATTGTAGAGAGAACAGTTTAAAATAAGAAACACTTATTTTTATAAAATTACTCTCATATATTTACCCACATAAACACAAACTCACACACATTTAAAAATTGAATTGTTTATGTTGGTTACATGAATTTGAATAAAAGTTTTTTTTTTATTTTTTCATTTGCATAATATATATTACCCGTGCTGGCTTCCATTGCCTCTTGCATTTGTTGTTAAAAATTAAAAATTTTCTCGAAAATAAATAATATATACATACATATATGATTTTCAATGAATATTTCATTAAAACCATGAGATGTATAAAAATATTTAAGTTAAAAGTTTTTAATGTACTCTTTACAAGTGTGGACTTCGATTTTTTGAAAATGTAATATTTTAAAAATATATATCTATCTCACATTAATAATTTAACAAATTTTGAATTTTTAAACGTAAATATTAAAAGCAATGCACATCAACGTATCATATCTGTATCGTGCTTATGTCGCTCATTATTTGATAACATATTTTATTTCACATTCTCTCCATGTGTTTGTGTATAATATACAATATGTTAAATAATATATTAATAATTTAAAAATAAGAAGATAATTGCCTTCTTGGTGCTAATATTTTTATCTTTTAAATCATATTAATTTGTTTAATTTAATTAATCGGTTGGAAAGAAAAAAGGTGTAAAATATTTTTTATTAAAAAATTACTAAAAATAATTGAATATGAATTAGCATATGACGAAAATTGGTTAAAATGAGAAATTATAAAATATGATAAATTTCTTTTGTTCTAAGAAATAAACATTTCTATGAAGAAAAGAAATTATACTGTGAATATGAAACGTTATGCATCAAGTAAAACTTTGATTAAACTTTGTGCACATCGCTTGCATTTGTTTTGGCGAAAAAAAAAAGAATTTAGTATATTCTTAAGTATTCTATACGTAACAATTAATTTTTCATGTCATTGAAATTGGTTAACAAAATTTAATATTTTAGATATTTTTGTATATGGCGAGTGTAGTTGGAAATAGAATATTTTTATAACATTAAAAAAATTTAGCTATATGTCTTCTCGTTCTTCTAATTAGCATTTGATTAATGCGAGTTTCTTTGTAATAACATTAAAAATTATAAAATCATAAAATCACCGAACAATTGCAAAAGATTGTATCGCCGATTATATCCGATGCATATTATATATGTCCGATACTTTCTATCAGTTCTTGCCAAGAAGATAGCATCATTTTTCTCTAGTGTGCTATTTGGTTCACCTATAAAAAGAGAAAGAAAAAAACCGAAAAAAGAATACAATAAGCATATGTGTGTACATCTTTGTTCATTTTTGTCGATTAAATACACAAATTCAAGCGCACAAATCTTTCACACGTGCTATCGTTCGAATTGAACGTAAGCATATGAGGTAATTAGGTTCCGTAAATGTGAATCATAATGATCTTCATGTCACACAGTGCAAGCAGAACGACTTGTATACACGATGAGGGAACGGAGATCTCCGTGTTGGGAAATGGCGTGTGGATTATCATTTTATCGCGATTGTCTCCTAACTCTGACATAGATTCGTAAAAGCGGGACGACCTCGAGTGGGACTGATTAACCTGATTGTTGACGGTCGCAGGTCAATAACCATTTGGTATCGTGTATATGTATATGAGCGCGAACAGGCAAAGACGCAAGAGTCGCGCGCAGGCGAGGCCGAGGCACGTGATTTCGATCGGAAGAAAAGTTGCTAAGATTACATACATAAATGCATACTTCCACACAGTGTTCATGTTATATTTGCTACATTATAGTTTCTTATAATGTAAAGAGCGTGGAATTTATATCCTGTCAATATTGCTGTAATAAAGACGTGTAAAAGTTTCACATAAAAACAGTTCTGTATAATCAAGTAGAATTTCTACTCGATGTAATTATATACAGGAGATATCTTGGATGTCTGCAATATTTCTGCAATCTTTTGATGCTGTATGAGATACTATAGATATGTACAAAAATATTTTACGTACATCTATCTACTTTAAAAAATACGATCAATATTCGAAATAAGTCAATTCTAGCCTATTTAGTTCTTAAAATGAACATTTTTCTATTGTCCAGAAAAATAGCGCTGCCCAAGTAGCAAATTGACGTCATTAAACGTTAAAATGACGTCAATATCATATGTACATACAATATTTTATCTACAGCTATATCTACTTTAAAAATACATTTAATGTTCGAAACAGGTTCAATTTTAGCCTATTTAGTCCTTAAAATGAACATTTTTCGATTGTTTAGAAAAATAAAACATTACTGCACAAGTAGCAAACTAACGCCATTAAACGTTAAAATGACGTCATTTTGACGTCTAATGACGTCATGCAACATCAGAATGATATATGCTTGCTATTTGAGTAGACATCTTTAAAAGGTTCTAATAACCTAGTCAAATCGATCAATTTCTGACTGGGAAAGATATTTAAAGTTCTAATCTGAATATTTTAAATACGTATACAAAACGTCCAATATGTATATTTTTAATACGTTTTTAAAAATATCATTGTGTTATCTGGATAAAAGTTTTGAAACAGTAATAATAAAAATAAATTTCTTAAGGTTTGTATAATGCAAAGCAAAAAAATTAGAAGAAAGGGGCTAACTTTACGGGCATATAGAATAAATCGAATGTAATATGTTAATATTATGTGATTTATTTCAAATATAACAAAATTACGAAACGTAAACGTTTCGATTTACTTATAGTCTTCTTCAGTGCGAATAAAATGAAAACAAAATAGTTGCTTTCCATTTACATCGAAATTCAGATAAATTTTACTTCTGTCTTTCTTCAACATCCATGTTAAAGAAAGACAGAAGTGAGATTTATTTGAGTTTTGATGTAAATGGAAAGCAACTAATATTAGATTGAAAGATTAAAATTATGACGAACGAAACGAATTATGTTTCAAATATTGAGTCGTTCGCTCGCCAAAGGTTTAATACATTAATTTTAAATAAGATTTGTGATGTTCAAATTGAGAAATCTTCTAACGCATTGTGAGGCCAGCGTGTATCAAAATAAACTATCCTTAAGGATAGTAATAATATATTTATATCAAATCACGATATCAGCTTGGAAGATAATATTATGCAAAAAATTATAAAACGAACATGTGATTGCTTTGAAGTTTTTTAAAGGCTTTTCTAAACTTTAAAGCAATGAAATTAGGTTATCCTTGTAGACATTTACCACTAGTAACGCCAATTAATCACTTATTTCCAGTACTTAAAATACTGATATACAGTAATTTAAGTACTCGAAATAAGTAATTAAGTACTCAAAATAAGTGATGAATTGGCGTTACTAGTGATAAATTTCTATAAGGGTAAGTTATAGGTTAGAGTCTCATTTCTTTACTACACAGAACACATTTAAAGTTTGTTTAGAAAAATTAACCTCTATCGAATAAATGATTCACTATATATCAATTTTATTATTTTCTGCTTTCTTCTTTTAACAAACAAGATAAACAGTTTAATTGATTTAGTGGTCGAAACGTTGTTAATAAATTAAATTCAACACCTTAGCCTGTTGGTCGATTTAATTCTTATCAACTTTGATTTCTTCTTTTAATTACGATAGCCCGAAAGAGCAAACAAAGGGATAAATTCCAGGAATAGATCCGTCTTGATTCATATAACTACTGTTGCATTCTCATTATGCGTAGCATGGGAGTTTAAGGTGTTAACAAGTTTGCCGACGTTCAATTCAGAGTAGCACTTACGCAAGGTCGAAAGCCGCAAATTCGATTATCAAGAATGGCGTCAATCGTATCCGCGCTATCATATGTCGATTGTCGCCGGTGTTGCCAGTGTGCAGATAGGCTGCTTATCTTGAGCATGTTGCTCCGCGTTGATCCACGCGAGAAAAATCACTTCTATGTTTGCGAGAATCTTAAAGGTAGGATTATCTATTCTGCAAATGAGATTAGATTCGTTATCGTAGGGTGCGCTGCTGTTCACAAAAATTATCCGTTTACAATGTTTACATAATGATTACGTATACAAAAAGTATATTTATCTATCGATTCGCTTTAAGAATTGAATAATTACAAAGTGTTGCTCTTTTGTTTTTACATTGCTAGTTTATTAATATAATAATGGTAAAGAGAATAATAAAATATAGAAAAATTTTTCAAGGAAAAAAACTTATGTTATAAATAATATAAATAATAATAATATATAAATAAACTTATGTTATGAATAATTTAAATATATCCTATATATACTTTTCTTTCAGTTTTTTTATTTATTTATTTAATCACCTCTTTCTCTCTTTCTTTTTTCCTTTCTCTTTATCCTTACTCATCTTCTAATTAAATTTTAGATTAGATATTTATGTAACTTGCGCCGCCAAGTAAAATTGTAT